AGAGAGAAAGAGAGAGAGAGAGAGAGAGAAGGGGGAGGGGGGAGAATGTGTGTGTGTGTGTGCGTGTGTGTGTGTGTTAATGTAGTTATATTACATAAATAAATATACACAGTTCGTCTGTCGATATAAAGCTTGAGACATATAGAGATGAGATCAAGCTTATATTAACCTCAGATATTAGCTGTACGCACGCGCATACATTCATTCAGACGCGAATGCGCAGACAGATGACACACACACACACACATACGCACACACACACACACACACACACACACACACACACACACACACACACACACACACACACATACGCGCACGCCTAGATAGGTAAATAACTCTATAATGTATAGATATATTTTACATTCAGATGTATGTACGCACTCAAACCTTCACAAATCTCGATACGCCATAGAAACATATAGAATAGTCCGGGTGTATGCATGCACGTCCATCAGAGCGCCGTATCACACAGTTAAACTCCTTCCCAGTTGCATTTTATCGGCCATACGTAAGGTCCCGCCATCATCGCGGGTGCTCTGACAGTTCGCCTTTAATGGTTCCTCCACAACCTTCACTACATGATAGTAAGTCCATACGCTCGCGCCGGCCACTCACTCCTCCTATATTCACTTCGTCTTTTTATTATTTTGAGAGCGAGGGGCGTTGGTGTGTTAGTTATCTGAGAGTAAGACGGGGGGATTTTCTTGCATGAGTCGTGGAGACGGTGAGGCGATACCCGAGGATGATGAGGATAGAGACGGACTTGATGTAAAAAAAAAAAAAAAAATCTAACAGATGCAAAAATAAATGGGCTTTTGGGAGCCCGTCGTTGCCAGACGTACGAAGTTTGCTTGGGCGCTTCAGTCATTTGTAATCTCTTCTTAATCTGTTTATTGTGAGTTAAAGTAAGGTATGGTTCTAAATGAACTGGCTACCTAGTAACAAAATAAGAGTGGTAGATTATACAGGAAATGTGAGCAAGAATGCTTATTCAGGAAGAGCGCCATTGTTGCCAGTAGATACCCCTTCCGGGCAAAGCGAAGCGCCAGTCGAGTTTGTGCCGTCGTCGGGAGTAGACGTTACGCTCTGGTTTCTCGCTCACGCTACCATGTGGTGCTTTGTGTGATCCGCTGTTCATTACTTCTTTTCTTGTGGTTCGTGATAACATCGGAGGGCAGTGTGAGAGGAGTGATTGGTGTGTCGTGCCGATGATTTTGTACAGCTGGCGAAGGTATTAAGAAAGGCCCCGAAGTTTGGGTAGAGCCGCAAAGGGCTCTTGTGGGTGGGCACAGCTTGATCGGGGCGCCGCGCAATTAATTTATACTCCCGCTTTTTATCATTTGCCCAAATCGAAGATCTTCCAAGATAATGCGAGGTGAACGAGTGTTAAAAACCGAATAGAGGAAGATTCGAGGCCACATCGCAGGTGATTAGTCTTGGAAAAAGGAAAAGCTAGATAATACAGCCGTTCTAAATCGGGAAGGCCGCAATCAGTAGCGTTATCTCTCGACGATGGCCAGTGCAGTGATGGGCGGCGGTGGAGGCGGCGTGGGCGGCGGCGGCGGAGGGGCGGCCAACGTGGAGGCCCAGCTGGTGGCCCTCCTCGACAAGCTGGAGGGCCTCCGGCAGGACTCGGCGCCCCCGTCCCGCCCCCCGATGATCGCCGAGGTGCGAACCCTGGAGCTGTGGCGCGCCGTGATCGCCGAGTGCCTGGCCACCGTGTTCTACGTGTTCCTGGTGTGCGGCGCCTACAGCCCCTGGACAGGCAAGACGCTCACGCCGGAGGGCCAGCTCACCATCTCGCTGGTGGCCGGCATGGCCATGGCCGTCCTCGTGCACAGCTTCGGACAGGTGAGGAACCAGGTGCTCTGCCACTGCTGGGTTGCGTTAGGATATGGAATTCAGTGATTATTGTTTTCTGTTTCTCTTTCCTCGCCCTCTTATGAATAAAATGTTTTTGATTGAAAGAGTTTTGCTTTAGTTAATGAAGTGCTTGAAGTGTTTTTTATAATAATGTCAGACTTTTTTTCTGTGCCATGTAGCCTCCAGACTTCACAACGCAATATAAGTTTATGGAGTTTAATTACTTCATGCTGGTGTTTTATTTATGGAATCGCATTACTGACGCTATTACCATTGGAATAACGAAAAAAAGAGGAAACATCTATTATTAGACCATCATAAATAGAGTATTTTGAAAAAGATACAAACGGTATTCATGAAAAAAAAGAAGAAAAAAACCTACTCGGTAAAGGAATATAATGCACCATAAAGGTCAAATGCAAATTTTTACCCAGCAAAACCTGCTCGAGAAACATAAGCAAAAAGGTCATCATCTATTTAAGGAGACAGGCGACACCAGGAGTTATCAAACGTTAGTTGATATTTAGCCCAAGTGTTACAGTGCCCTGAACTCGTTATCAAAGAGCTATTGTGTTGTAAAATGGATGTAACGAACATGGTGTTAATATGTCTTCGGTGTTGTAACGTGCACTGG